AACCATGTACAAACAGATCCTCTTTGGAGTTACCAAGGGGCAAAATTTTTCTCTGAGATCCGTATGGTGAAACTCAGCACTGTTATCCTGCTCTTACGAACAAAATCACATGGGAGTCCCCTTTAGTGATGGCAACAACAAACTCTGCTCTTACAGACATAACAAGATTTTAAAACACAGTAATGCTACTGAAGTTCAGCAAGATATTTTACTACAGCAGACAGAATTTATTCTACTACCTGTAGAAGACTAATCTACACCATGATGGAGTGACTGTTTTGGTAGATAAGGGAAGAGCAACTCGTGTCATCTATCTTGGCTTCTCTAAGGCCTTTGAAACGGTCCCACACAACAACCTTGTCTCTTAATTGGAGAGACATGGGTTTGATAGATGGATTACTTGATGGGTAAGGAATTGGCTAGATGGCCACATCCAAAGAATTGCAGTCAACAGCTCAATGTCCAAATGCAGATCTGTGACAAGTGGTGTCTTTCAGAGGGCTGTAGTGGGACCAGTACTGTTCAATATCTTTATTAATGATATAGACAGTAGGACCCTGAGCAAGTTTGTGGATGACACCAAACTGAGTGGTGTGGTTGATACGCTTGAGGGAGGGGATGCCATCCAGAGAGACCTTGGCAGCTGGGAGAAGCAGACCCATGTCAACCTCATGAAGTTCAACAAGGCCAAGTGAAAGGTCTTGCACGTGGAATAGGGCAATCACCAATAACAGTACAGACTGGGGAGATGAAGAATTGCGAGCAGCCCTGCAGAGAAGGACATGGGGATACTGGTGGGTGAAAAACTGTATATGAGCTGGCAAGGTGCACTTATATCCCAGACAGCCAATTGTATTCTGGGCTGCATCAAAAGAAGTGTGGCCAGTAGGGCATGGGAGGTGATTCTGCCCCTCTACTCTGCTCTCACGAGACACCTCCTGGAGTACTGCATCCAGCTCTAGGGTCCCCAGTGCAAAGAAGACATGGACCTATTGGAGCAGGTCCAGGGGAGGGCCACAAAAATGATCAGAGGGAAGAAGCATCTCTGCTATAGGGACAGGCTGAGAGAGCTGGGCTTGTTCAGCCTGGAGAAGAGAAGGCTCTGGGGACACCTTAGTGTGGCCTTTCAATATTTAAAGAAGTTGTATAAGAAATATGGAGAAACACGTTTACTAGGGCCTGTAGTGACAGGATAAGGGGCAACGGTTTTAAACTGAATGGGGGTAGGTTTAGAACAGATATAAGGAAGATACGTTTTACGATGAAGGTGGTGAGGCACTGGAACATGTTGCCCAGAGAAGTTGTGAATGTCCTGTCTTTGGAAGTGTTCAAGGTCAGGTTGGATGGGGCTTTAAGCAATGTGATCTAGTGGAAGATGTCCCTGCCCATGGCAGGGGGGTTGGAACTAGATGATCTTTAAAGACCCCTTCCAACATAAAACATTTTATGATTCTGTGATTCCGGGTAGTTCAAGATGAACGTTCTTTGCAAGGCAAGCTTCAGAGTATTCCAAGAAAAGGAGAAAAGAGAGTTTAAAAAAAAAAAAAAGACTCAATATTTAGCTTAGCCACTTGCACATTCAATTTATTTGGGGAAAAAAACCCAAAGTATATGCTACCAATGAGGATAAACTTTACTGTTTCTATTGCTATTAAATTTCTATTGAAGTTATTAGTAATATTCCTCAAGTAGAGATCACAAATATGGAACTTCAGAATAACCAGCCACAGTTTAAGTGGCTTTTCCTACAATCTATGAAATTACCTGAAGTATGTACACTCAGAATCGAGGTAACAATTTTTATTTCTTTCAAATCTGCATATCCAACCCCTTATTCTGTTTTATGGTAATATGATGCAAGACAGTGACGTTGCTATTTTATTTTTATTGACAACATTCAGTAGTGTCTTACATGAATTATTACAGAATCCACACGGGGTCATCTGTATCATGCTGCAATTTTAACTATCTTCTAACTGAACGACCCTCAGAAGGGGAATAAATACTACTAGTTCAAATTTTCACATGCAAATAGGTGTTTTCATGAATATCTATGTATAAATGATAATTGCATGTCTATATAGGCTACCTTTTTATTCTGCAATACTCTTTGCTGTCTGGAATTTAAATGATCAGGTGTCCACAATTACTAGTAAAAGTAAAAGCACATTTAAAATTATTTTTGTCCATGTTTACAGGTCTCTACAGTCAATATGTCAGAATTGTTTACAGTGTCATTCACTCAGAATTTTATTCTCTTTCTAGAGAAGATAACTAATGGAGAGCAGACAGTTTTCCAAAGCAGTGAATTTTTTGTTTTCTTTTCCTTTTTTTCCATTACTTATCCCAGTGTTCAAAGCATGGAAATTTGGGTACTGAACCTGAGGCTGGAGGCTGGGAAAGGTTTTGTTGCTGTAGGAATTCATTGTTATGGGTGACCGAACATGGAGGAAATCAACGTGGGGATGAAAGCTGGAGACAAGATAGAATACGACTCTACACAGAGACAACTGTTGCTTGGTAGCTCCACCTTTCCTCTGGTTTTGGATGAAACAGAGAGAAACCCTGGTATATTCATTGCCATAACAAAACAGCAAAATACTGCGTGCCTGTGCAACTTAAAGAGACGTCATTGCCAGAAGACCTCCCGACCCCACAGGATCTTGTTAGTTGCACGGAAGCCTGAATGTGGCATGGGGTGATCCAAGACCCCCTCTCTGTTGCAGAAGGAAGAAATCATGATGCAGTTGATTGATTGCCGGCAACTTTGCCGTTGTGAAAAATGGTGTTTCCCACAGCATCCTCTGTGGTGGTTGCAATAACAGCACTGAAGCAGGAGGTGGTCCCACTGGGTTTGTAAGAACACGGAGGCAGTGGAATGATCTCCACAGAGTGGGTCGCGTGGTAAGATTCAAAAGTTAAAAGTGGTAATAAGTCTTACTGCTGCAAACTGCCTTTGAATATGCCTTTGAAAGCACAATATACCCCTAAAATACCAAAAATAATGTAAATACACTACCACCATCTCAAATTTCAGGAGAGAAAGAATCGGTTGTAAAGTCAGAGGCCTTTTGTTGACAGTACTATGTTATGTAGCTATAGGCAATGTTACAAACTAGAGAAATCACTGGCCTTTCTTTCTGGAAGCTTACACTATAAACACAGCCACACAGAGAGCCCTTACACCACCACAGGCACCGTAAACCTCAGCAGGTAGCTCTTTTTCTTCTCTAAAACAGCTTCTCTCCAACTTGCTCTCACCCACGCCGCACTTACTATGAAGGTGCACAAGTAGTAAAAGTTTTAAAAAAAACCCACTATTATTGACATTTTATTTAACACTTCTCTTCCTGATTTTTTTTTTTTTCCTTTTCTCCTGACACCTCAGCATCCTCTGTACCATTTACTGGACTCTATTGGAGAAAAAAAACACCCTGAATGCTATGTTAAATCAAAAAAAGGGTTTTTTCCACCTTATTATTTCACAGCTATACGCCATGTAGGTATAACTCCTATTAGCACTTTCTGCCATTTTGCATGCAAATTTTATTTACGGTATTGTTTCAGTATTCAGGTTTGAGGATTATTTTTTTTTTTTTGGTATAACAGCTCTGAGACAAGCCTTAACCCTCAACATATGAATATGGAATCTCCATCCTTACAGATCCTAAAAACAAGGCATTTATAAATAAATAAACTATATATGATTCAAGACCAAATAAGGAGCCACCTTTGTGATTGCTCCAGGCAGTCCCTTTTATATCAGAAAGAAATGAAAGAGTAAAGTGCAAGTAAGGTCTTGAGTATGATACTTATAAGCTATGTTTATCAGACCTTATCCAAATTCATATAGGTCTTAGTCAAGCTGACATTTTGTCACTAAAAACAAAATTAATATTTGAAGAAATGTCCGGATAATAAATATTTTTTTTTCTTACTTTCTCATCAAAGGAATATATTTCTATAAGCCCCACAGCCCTTCATTTCATAATACAACTACCACTGGAAATTTGAAGATTTGAACAAGACAGCTACTTTTTATAAATCTGAATAGTTACAAGCACTGGACCACTCAATGGAATTTTTTAATAATCCGCTGTCCCTTTTAAGTTCCTATGATATTTTTCTAAAGAATTGGGAAAAATGATTCAAGAATCTTTCCCAAGTTTATAGAATTTAAGTGGCTTCATGCCGTCAGGGTGAAAATAGATACACTTATTAAAAATCTATATATTTGCAGTTCTTCAAAACAACTCAATTTTTTTTTTTTCCAAAACCGCCATGAAGACAAAAGAATTATTCTAAGTTTCCCACAGAGTGTCCTATTATTATGGTCTAAACTGGTGCAACTTTATTTTGGGAACATAATTGTATTTGAAATTGTTCTAAGAGAGGAGGCCGACCGATGCTTCCTGTTTTGCACGAGAGACAGATCTTTTCTTTTGAGCACGCTTCAGCTGCGAGTAGCACTAAGGAAGTTCAAAACAGAGGCATTAACTCCAAATACTCCAACGCGCAGCTCGCGCGTGGCTGCGCATCCTGCGAGACACAAGGGCCAGGAGCTGTGCCCGTCACCCGGGGAGCAGCAGAAGACCACAGGGTGGGTTCCTACGTGGTGGCCGCCCCTGAGCACCCCCAGACCTCCCCAGGACAGGGCTGTTTGGTGCCCCCAGCCAAACGCAGGCACGGCAACACAGTGCTCCAGGCAGGGCGGCGCTGCGCTTTATCACTATTCTCTTTACTAGACAACACCAGTGATGCTAATTTCTTGTTTGGGGTTTTACACATTTTTATACTCCTAAAACAGCCGAGCATCTGCATAACTTTCATCATTAAAGTACTTTCACTGACTTCAAAGAGACCGGGATGCTTAATCTTAAACAAGTGCGTAGGTATCTATTGAACTGTGGTTTCTACTGGGGTTTTCTAAACTGGCGAGAACAGTGAGTACCATTCTGAAAGTACAACTTGTTTGCGTAGGGGTAGAAAATGTGTCATACCTGCAGCATTTGTTCTTCCTCTGAAAATATCGTCGTACGCTTTCCATTGTGGGGTCACCTGGTAGGCATGGATGAACACCACAAAAACCACTACCAAGCACATTAATGGCACCAGAGCAGCGGTGAAGAGAGCAGCGTAGGCATTTGGAATAAAGCACCTGATGGAAAAAATGGGAAAAAATGCTGTTTATAAACACAACAGACACCTCGAACAGTCATGAGTAAATTTCAAAAAACAAATGTTTTTGGAAAGGATATGCTTTAAAACCCACAAATTCTTTAGCTCTATTCCCAGAGTAACCTTGATAGGATGCACAGAGCTCTGTTGGTTCTTATCTCCTCATCATATCTGAAGGAATATAACATTTGCACCTTAAAAGTATGTGTGTTATCTTTTAGCCTAACCAATTTTGGAGAAATTTAAATTGTTGCAATGGAATAAACTATATTTCAAGAAACTCCATGCATGCTATATTCATTTAATGTGATCACTCTTAGTCACCAAAGTCTAAAAGGGCATTATGCAATTTTCTATACTTAGGTCCTGAAACCACAAATTAAATTTTGAGAAATATATTTTTTAAATAAATGAACTAGTCTTAAAGGCAAGATAACTATTGCTCCTCAAGTTGTTGGAAATTATATGTCATTTGCACACTGAAGCCAAATGCTCACTCCCTCCTATTTTTTTAAAAAAAATTGTCCTGCCTCTCCTCACCCTTTCCATTTATTAAAGTTATAATTATTTATAAAGATGTGACAGGAACATGGGTTATTCCTGAGAAAGAGTCAAATTACACATACAAAATGATGACTTGAAGGATACAGAGATGATAGCTGAAGAGAGCTCGCGGCAGTACGGGAGATCAGGGTTTTCTGTGAACTCCCTGGAGGTCAGTATGTGCTTTACTGCCACTGACCTATCCTAGAGATGACGCACAACGGAGCAGCCCGAGGGACCGCTTGGGAGTCAGTATGTCTAGAGAGTATGTGGTCACTGCTAACCCTATTAAGAGGGTGTAACTTACCCAGCCCTTATGTTTGTCAGGTCAGCTCTGCTCAATAAGCTCAGAGTCAATGCTGGCATAACACACATCTGACAAGACCCCGGGTATATGTTTCCCTGATATACCTTTTGGGTTCGCTTAGGTGGACATGTGTAGTCTGTCCGGCAAGTCCTGCAAGCCTCTGCGATTGCATTCTGTGTCAGCTCTTCCAGAGCATCAGGCACTCTGAGTGAATCCCAAAATCATTTCCAGCAGAATCTAGATGCCTTCTACAACCCTCTTCAGGAGCTACATGCTCAGTCAGACACCAAGCCGAGATACCACCTGATAACACCACTGAACAAGTAAGCAACAAGGAAGGTAGGAACTCCCTATCGCAATTGAAGGTGTTTGTTTCACAGAATCTCAGAATGGTTGAGGTTGGAAGGGACCTCTGCAGGTCATCTTGCCCAACCCCCCTGCTCAAGCATGGACACATACAGCCGATTGCTGACAGTGTGTCTAGATGTTTTTTTAATATCTCCAAGGATGGAGACTCCATGACCTCTCTGGGCAACCTGTGCCAATGCTCGGTCAACCTCACAGTGAAAAGGTGTTCCCTGATGTTCAGAGAGAACCTCCTGTGTTTCAATGTGTGCCCATGGCCTCTTGTCCTGTCACTGGGCACCACTAAAAAGATCCTGGCTCCATCTTCTTTGCACCCTCCCTTCAGGCATTTATATACATTAAAATGATCCCCGGAGCCTTCTCTCCTCCAGGCTGAACAGTTCCAACTCTCTCAGCCTTTCCTCATTGGAGAGATGCTCCAGTGCCTTAACTCATCTTGGTGGCCCTTTTTTGGACTCTATGCAGTCTGTCCATGTCGCTTTTGTGTTGAGAAGCCCAGCACTGTACCCAGTGCTCCAGATGTGGCCTCACCAGTGCTGAGTAGAAGGGAAGGATCACCTCTCTTGACCTGCTGTCAACATGGTTGTTTTCTGGACATCGCGTCTGATCCATTTCATCCTTCTAATTTCTAATATTTCTTATATATGAAATTTATTTTTGTTCCCCAAGGGAATTCTTGAGTGGGTCCAATTACTGTTAAGACATGAAGGCCCATTACCATAACCTGTGCTGCTTTTAATGACTATAGCGAAGCCAAGAATCTTAGCACAAGAATAGTCTTCTATAAAATCGTATTTATGTTCTGAAAGCTGGTTTTTGTTTTTGTTTTTTTTTTAATTTTATACATTTTTGTATTTCAGAGATCACGTATACTCTTAAAAACCGACTTGAACATCTTGAAAGTTTTCTGTGAACAGTCTTTTATATTCAGTTAATGAAAGCCGCATGAAAATGAGAACCTACAGAGATGAATCAATTTTACTAATACCTCCAGGTGCTTGCTCTAAAAAAGACACTGAAAAGCTATGTAGACAAGAAATACACAAAACCACATCAACCTACACAGCTTACTTAGGATTTTTTTCTTGAACGCAATGGGGAGCAATTCAACGACCACCACTACTTCCTGTAAGTTTTAATCACAGATAGAAGTGTAATAATATATGTTGAAAGATATCTTTCAAGCTGGAAATCATGTGAGATATCATTATAGGAACCAACTGAAAACATGTATTATATTTGATACTAGGGGCACACGTTTATAATTCCATTACCATGACACATTTGTCACATGGAACTACTTTGTGTCTCATATTCCTAGCATTGGATGGGAATAGAAGAAAAAAGTCCTAACACACCAACGAAGCTCGTGTTCCAGAACACTACTACTCTATAGAAAAAGGCTGATGTGGAAACTGGAATGAACTACATAATTACAAACCTCACTTGTTTAAAAAACAGCATTATCTCCTGTAGTATAGCCTTCAAGCAAGTTGCCTTTTTTTTTTAAACAGGCACTAGACTTCGTAAAGTGAGTCTTTAATCCATGAAAGACAGAGACATTGTGCATAATGAAGTTATTTTTGTATTTCTTTGTTGGGTGAGTAAGTATAAGATTTTTGGTTTGTTTGTTTTGAATCTGAGTAAAAGCAAAAAAAGAATAAAATACAGCTACCCGTTGAAATATATGCCTTGTGCAGTAGGGACAAGAAAAATCAAACACTGGTAACTTCTTCAGAGACTGTCATTTTATTACAAAGCTTCTGTGACTTCCTGTTAACACTTTCTATTACCAAATTGTACTTCCTTTCCCCCCCCTTTCTGTACCTTTTCTCACAAACAGCATTTTACTTCCATCTCAAATGTTTCTAACTCAGAATTTTTTTTCCAGCTTACGAGAACATTAAACATGTTATCCAAAGCACTCTGCAGGTCTGTTTCTGTTATAATTCTATGAAAAAGGTTAGAAATAATTTTAGAAATAATTGTCTTTAGTATGTGTCTTCTCCAAGATATAATTCCACACCAGTATGAAGTGTTTTGTTACTAATTTTAGAACTGAAAAAAAACCAACCCAGAAACTACATACTATTTTTTCTTTCAATACCAAGCAATAAGATTGTATTTTTTACCAGGATTAGAATGATGAGAGACAGCTTTAATAGGTAAGATTTTTTTTCTCTCTTGAGAACTACTGAAGATTTGATCTAAATTGGTACTTTTAAAGACAACAAACACAGGGATATTAGGACATACAAATTAACAGAGAATATCATCTTCCCTTTGGAAAAGATGTAAACTCAGAAAATCATATACATTTAAATCAATTCATTGATTAACATGACCTCACTAATTGCCCAGCCAGAATCAGGGCTTTACCTCGGTTTTGCTTTTTCCCCGACTTCTAATCTATAAAAAAAGGATTACTAGGTTTGCTTTCTTCTCAAGGGGGTGAAGCATGTTTATCTGACTCTTTAGGTGTCTTTGTGAAGTCTTCTGTGAACTCTTAAACCATAACATTGCCTAAAATCTGGAGAAGAATTCAAGCTATGTAAGATATGGAAGGGTGTCTTTTATTTTTCCTAACAGTTTTAAAGGAAAAACAGAAAACAACTGACAAGATGTATACTGGAACTATTTTTTAGCACAATTACATAATTAATAACAAAAAAGGAAAAAAAAAACCAACCAAAACAAACAAACAAACAAAGAAACAAAAGCCAACCAAGCAGCATTGTCAAGGAAAAAAGGACTATTTAAAACACTAAGGAAGGTATTCAATGAATGGACTGACATATTTTGTTCTAATGTGTTATAGACAGTTTCATTCCTTTATTGCCATGCCTTGAATTCTAAGGACAATCACCTTCAAATGCATCTGGATACTATGGGAAGTTAAGTTTGACAAAAAAATGGAAGACTTTTGGTCTAACAAAAAAATATCTGGTCTTCTCTTTTAGTTTTGCCAGCAGGGAGCTAACCTTTTGACTTTTACTTGTCACATGAGTTTCTCTCGGGAGCTAGGTCTAGGTTACTATTATTATGGTTGTTGTTGCTACTTTTTTATTTATTCTTTATTTTAATTTTCATCATTGTTATTTAATCGTGGGCACAAAGCTCGACAACTCTTGAGCTTCTCACTTGCTTCAGGCACAGCTGGCTGGCGGGCAGCCTGGCACACAGAGCAGGGAACTGTGGCACCATGTGAATTTGCTCATAGTGCACATGTTACATCAGGAAAGTAAAAGGCAAAGGTCAGGCACATGGATTTGCGCTTCTGTTTGTATTTCATCACCTCCACGTAAAGAAAGAAATTGGCGTACCTAAAATAACCTAACGAAAGGCAAAGCTTGAAGCATTTATTCATGCTCACTCAGCAAATTCTTCACAAAGCAGATGAGACAATGCTAAAAAATGAAAATATGCAAGTTACGTTATGATGTACATACAAATCTAGATGTTCACACACTCTGGACTTTCTTAAAAAGCAATTTGCTGCGTTCCAGATTTTGGTTTTGTTGTGGAGGAAGGCTACATTACCCTTGAGTTGGCACTTCGTATTTCTTCTACAACATGCTCAACAATTCTCTATGAAGTGCAGAGCAAGCCAGACAATGGAAACATTTTTTCGCAAATAATTACTTGCTAAAAAAGTTGTTAATCTGACAAATTATCTGCAGCAAATTGTGCATGACCTGTATCTAAGCAACATACCGAAACCTAAAATATCTTTCTTTTATGAGCTTATCCTAGATGATGGATAT